TGTGTTTTCGACACTCATTGTTGAAACACAGTCGGTCCTTTTCCATATTCGATTTAAAGCTAGTATGCATGTTTCATTTGAATGATGGGGATTGAGATTCAATAGTTTCGAGCTAATATGTATTATGTATATAGGCTATGGATAAAGATATCAAACAAGAAGCCAACTAATTCTTACACTTGCAACAAACATAATTCAGTTACATCAATCTAAAACTTGTTTTTTTTTTTTTTGAAAGCCGCACCATAAGTACATATCATAACACACAAGTTTACAACCATAGATACGGTACTCCTACTAGTTAGAGTATGTGCCTCATATATTTATCGTCCAACGTAACTAACCTATTCAAAACTATCATTTTTACATAACAACATAGTTATTCTGATATGTCGAACTATAGTGAGCATCTCGATAGAAATGGCTAGAGCGCCAACAAGGACCTTTATATGCACTTAATTAGAATGTAGATACCTTCCAGAATTTTCCATGATATTAGTATAAGACAAACTAACTTCCTTAACTTCACATGAATGTGAAACCATTATTCATGATTCCTGGAACCGAAATGATGATGATCTACCAGAAAAAATTAAAGAATGTGCTGTTGGATTAATGTCATGGGGTGGTAAGGAAGTCAGGGATGTGCTTGAACGAATCACTTCACTGAACAAGGAAATTGCTGGGATGGAGCATGGTATCATTATGGATGGTGTTAAAATTCAGATTCATTAGAAAAAGAAGGAGTTGGAAATCTTGTTGGATCAAGAGAATCTGAAATGGAAACAACGTGGAAAACAACATTGGTATAAGGAGGGTCATAGAAACACTAAACTTTTCCACTCACATGCAAATCGGAGGCGAGAGGTAAATCACATTGATTCTCTAAAAGATGATCAGGGAAATGTTTGTTCTGCAAAGGAGGATTCGAAGAAAATAATCACTGATTACTTTGGTGATCTATTTACTTCAACAAGCCGGCCGGAAATAGAAATTCAACAAGCAGGCCGGAAATAGAAATTCATCAAGCGCTTGGCAGAATCAGACCACGTGTGACTATGGAAATGATCGTCTATTGCTACCGTATTTTGGTGAGGAAATTGTTCGAGCTCTAAAACAAATGAGCCCTTTTAAATCTCTTGGACCGGATGGTATGTCTTCTATCTTTTTTCAAAAATTCTAGCATATAGTAGGCCCTGATGTAATCCGTTTTGTTTTAAATTTTTTAAATAATATTAATGTCAATCCTTCTATTAATTTCACATATATTGTTCTCATTTCGAAAGTTAAAGCTCCTGATTTTATAACACAATTTAGACCAAACAGCCTTTGTAATGTTGTTTATAAGTTAGCTTCAAAAGTTTTAGCTAACCGAGTTCGTACTTTACTACCTTCGATCATTAGTGACTCGCAATCAGCATTCATTCCCGGTAGGCTTATAACGGATAATATTTTGGTTGCTTATGAAACGCAACATTACATGAAATCAAGGATATCAGGGAAATTAGGTCTAATGTCATTAAAATTAGATATGAGTAAAGTTTTCGATAGAGTGGAATAGTCTATTCTATGTAAGATTATGATCGTTCTAGGGTTTGATCTTTCTTTCATTCGTCAAATATATAAATGTCTGTCTTTTGTTTCTTTTTCATTCTTACTGAATGGGTGTCAGTTTGGTAATCTCATTCCTCAACGAGGTATCCGTCAAGGGGACCCACTGTCTCCTTACCTCTTCATAATTTCCTCCAAAATGTTTTCTTGTATCCCTTGTGATTTACAGGCATGTGCAAAGATACATGGGGTGGCAGTCAGTCGTAATGCACCTTCAATTTCACACCTTTTCTTTGCAGATGATACTTTGCTATTCGGTCATGCAACGGAGGAGGAGGCTATGCATCTGAGATACGCCATTGAGCTTTATGAGAAGGTGTCAGGACAGTGCATCAACCTAGACAAGTCAGGAGTGGTTTTCAGTCCTAATGCTGATGTCGATTTACATACACGTATTCAACAATTCTAGGTATTCAGAGAGTTGATAAGCATGATAAATACATAGGATTGCATACAGTTTTAGACAGAAGTAAAAAAGAGCTTTTTGATTCCTTGACTGATCGAGTTTGGAAGAGGATTACTGGATGGAAAGAAAAACAACTTTCTCGGGGAAGCAAAGAGATCCTGGTGAAAAGTGTTGTTCAAGCTATACCAACCTACACTATGTCATGTTTTCGGCTTCTTGATTCTGTCATCCAGAAATTGAACTCTATGACTTCTGCATACTGGTGGGCTGACTTCGGAGATAAAAGAAAGATAAGATGGGTGAATTGGAGGAAAATCTCGCAGCCAAAATAGATTAGAGGACTTGGCTTTCGAGATTTGGAAAGTTTTAACTTGGCTCTTTTAAGCAAACAGGCTTGGCGTATACTTACCAATCCTGGATCAGTACTTGCAAGGATTTTAAAGGATAAATACTTTCCAAACCAGTCTTTCTTAGATGCATCACTTGGCACTGCTCCCTCATTTACTTGGCGCAGCATTACGGATGGCAAGAATACGTTGTTGCTGGGCTGTCGCAAACAGATCAACTCTGGTTTGAATACTCGTATCTGGATGGATCGATGGATTCCCTCCTCAGCTGACTTCCAAACGCATAGTGGTTTTTCTGTTTTGCCTCCTGATTCTAATGTTGCTGCGTTAATTGATTCTGCTACAGGATCATGGAAAGCAGATTTGGTGCGTACAATTTTTGTTAATCAGGAAGCTGAAAGCATACTGGCTATGGTTCCTGGAAACTTATCTATTGCAGATAAATGGATTTGGCACACCACTCTCACAATGGCCGTTTCAGTGTTAAAGCAGCATACAACGTGTTGATTAACTCCTCCTCCATTCGAGCTGATAATCATCCATCTGTAGCTCTTCTGCTGGAGATAAAAACTTTTGGAAAAAGCTGTGGAGCCTGAAACTTCCGAATCGAATCATTCATTTTCTATGGCGTTGTGCAACGGATTCACTACCTTCTTTGGAGAATTTGGCAAAGAGTGGCTTTTTCCTAGATACTCCATGTCCTCTTTGTCATGCAGCAAATCCTACAACTCTGCATATTTTCTACTCCTCTCCATTTTGCATAACAATCGTGGATCTTTGCAGGTTTACGTGACAAGCTCGTTCCATTTCAGTGTCCAAGATGGGATTTGTGGATAAGAGAGTTTCTTCTTAAAGCTGATCCTTCTGTTGCTGAATTCTTTGGCACCAATTGCAATTTACTATGGTATGCTCGTAATGATGGACTGTTAAACAAGCATTTGACTCTGCCAAGTGTTCTCATTACGAATGCCGCAGCTTTGCTTAAGGAGTTTCAAGCAGCAAATAATCGTCCAGAAGGTTGGTCTTCAGCTTTAAGATCATGTCATTTATTTCCTCCAGCAAACATGGAAACATGCATCTTCTTTGATGGATTTGTTTCTCGGCTTCGAAGATGCATAGGCATGGGAGTATATGTTCCAGATCAAAGAGGACAGTTTATGTTGGCCAAAGGACGCTGTTTGTATGGTTTTCAATCTTCTGAACTTGCAGAAATTATGGCGTTGAAGGAAGAGCTTTTGTTGGTAAAAGATCTTAATCTCAAAAATGAAACAATTATGGGGGACTCTTCGGTGGTGGCTGTTTTACAGCGATAGGGGAAGCGGATTGTTCAACCCTATGCTTACTGGTGTTGTTAGATATTAAGAAATTAATGTTAGGTCTTTCCTTCAATGCTATATATTGGATCCCACGTCTAGAAAATGAAATAGCCATGTTATTGCTAATCATGTTAAATCTTATGTAAAGAATGCTATAACTTGGTCTTCACCACCAAGTTTCTTGTATGGTTCAGAGCTGGCTGATTTCCAACAAGTTTGATACAGTCTCTTTTTCAAAAAAAAAAAAAAAAAAAACCTAACTTCTTTAACTAGAATCAATTTTTAGATAATAATAGTATACTGCGCCATTAGAATGGGCTGCATGGAACAAAAAGGATTCCGTTCCTAGTGAATATTGATTAAAAAAATAGTAACGATTATTTGAGGTGTGAAAAAATGTAAAACAACGTTAACCAAAAAAAATGTAAAGAAACCATTATGATCGATTGAAAGAAAACCATACAATTTATGGAACATGTCGAAATTCTTTAATTTCTCTTAATTTAATGAGAACATATTCCCCCCTCATTGTCTCTGATCCATGTATCTACCAATTTCTTAAAACTCTTATACTTTAAGATCTGATTTAGGAATAGATAGAACAATTACTAGTTTCGAATGCTTCGACTTCAAACTCTTTGGTTGATATAATGGCCATAAATAATAACGGTGAAATGATTCTATTTTGGTAGACTATTAAAGTTGTAACATTGAGAATTATGACATACCGAACAAAATACTCTATTGGTGCAGGAAATGGAACAAAGAACCAAATCAATGCACCGAACCTTTGAAATTTTGTTTTATTTATTTTCTTATCCCAGCATGAAGGTCCATGAAGGATCCCCTCCAACATTTATTTGGGATTGATGAAGTTTGTCGAGTTCTTCATCAGTTCTATATATATATATATATATATATATATTAATGTGTGTAAGGATTTACTAAAACTGTATTTTGTTGTAATGAAAGAAACTGTTTATTCAAAGGGCAATAGATCCTAACCGAACGTTAGGCCTTTATGTTTACCTTAAGAAAGAAAAAAAATTTCGACTTTAAATTGGTGCACATATTTACTTTGGTTTCATTTGTATTTGGAAGTGTTTGATACGCTTTCTTTTCAATCTCGTTTGCTTTTGGAAGGATTTGATTAGATTTGTGAATGAACAGTTGAAAGTTTTGTGGGAAAGTATCCGAAGTCAAATGTTTGCTTACGAATCTTGACTGACTCTCTCTTTATTTCTAGGTTTCTATATATACTTGAGAAAGAAAATTTGATAAACTCAATTCAAAATCTGATAAATTAGGCTTGTGAAAAAAATGGCAACCTGGTTTTCTTTTTTCTTGCTTTCTACAATTCTATTTCTCCTGATTTTTAATCATCTTCGAAAAACCCAAAAAACTCAGAGAAAGAATCCACTGGGACCTCTAAGACTACGATTCATTAATGGAAACTTGCATCAGTTCGATTCCGCAAAACCACACGAGTTCTTAAGGAATCTTTCCAACAAATTCGGTCCTTTCATGTCTTTGGAACTCAGAACCGTTCCGGTTCTCGTAATCTCAACCGCAAAAGCAGCTAAGGACGCCATAAAATCCAGCGATCTCGTGTTTTCTGGGCGGCCGCAGCTCACTAGCCTGCGGAAATATTCTTACGGCGGCTTGGACGTCGGTTGCGCACCGTACAGCGAACAATGGGGGGAGATGCGAAAACTTGTCGTCGTTCATCTCTTTAGGGCCAAAAGGGTTCAATCATTTCGCGCCGATTATTGAAGAAGAAGTTTTCGTTTTGATCGAAGAGATTTCGAATTATTCTGATAATGAGGTCATTAACTTGAGTTCAATGGTGATGAATCTCGCAAGCGCGGTGATATGTCGAATGGCTTTCGGAAAGAAGTATGATGAACGGGATCATGACAAGAAGAGGAGAACTAATCAGATTTTGATTGAATGTCAGGCTATGTTTGCCGTGTTTTTCGTGTCGGATTACCTTCGTCCTTTGAGGTGGATTGATAAGTTGTCTGGAATGTTGGCTCGTCTTGAAAGGAATTTCTCCGATTTGGATTCGTTTTATCAAGAACTTATTGAAGATCATATGAACCCCAATAGGCCAGATTCAATGAAGGATGATGTTCTTGATCTGATGATTCAAATCAAAGACAAACAATTGTTATCCTTTAATTTTTCTTGGGATCGCATCAATTTGTTTAATTTTTCTTTTTGGTATCAGATTTAGTGTTAATTTTTTGTGTTAATATGAGAATCTTTTTGTTTAATTTTTGGTGTTAATATGAAATGCTTTTTGTTTAATTTTTGGTATCCGATTTATATATATATATATAAATATTATATATATATATATATATATATCTATACATACAATAAAGCCCGAAAATAAATATCGTAAAATGAAATAATGTACGATGTGGTCATTCACAGATTTGATCTTTAAAATCTCATATTAATGTCTCAATTCGCTTTCTATGTCATTACTTATCTATATATATATATATATATATATATATATATATATATATATATCGCAAGATATATTTGTAGCTGGAATAGACCCAAATGCATCAACTATTATATGGGCTATGACAGCTCTCATTCAGAACCCTTCAGTAATGAAGAAGGTGTAAACTGAAATTAGAGATTTAGTTGGAAAGAACAAAATACTAGAAGAGGAAAGACTTGGAGAATTACCTTACTTGGATGCAGTAATAAAAGAAACATTTAGATTATATCCCAAAGCGCCACTCCTTTTGCCAAGAGAAATTACAGAAGACTTCAACATGAATGGATACGATATCAGAGAAAAACTATGCTTTTTATTAATGCATGGGCCATTGGTAGAGATCCTGAGAGTTGGAAAAATTCGAAGGATTATATTCCGGAGAGATTTCTCAATTGTGACATTGACGTCAAAGGAAATGATTTTCAACTAATTCCATTCGGAGTAGGAAGAAGAAGATGTCCTGGAATCTCTCTAGCACTATCAATTGTGAAAGTTACACTTGTGAATCTTCTCTACTTTTGACTGGGAACTGCCATCGGGAATAAAATTAGAAGTTATTGATACTGATACCTTACATGGATTTATTATGCATAAAAAAAATCCTCTGAGTCTTGTGGCCAAAAAGATGAGCTAAGTGAAGTTGAATGAGTGGGAATGGAATGGTTTAAGGGGATAACAAAGGTTTCTACTATTTATTTTCCATTCCAAAATGGCATTTATCTTGGATTTGATTTCAAATGGACCTTTGTTAAACTAGTTTATTTTGTAGGGTTTTATATTTTTGTTCCGACTAGTTTATTTTCGTTCAAATGGACCATTTGATTGGAATCCAATCAAATGGAATTCCAAAATGGCATTCATAAGCACTAGGCCTTGGGTCAGGGTAACGAGTTCTTTGTTATCAAAGAACTAGTTACCCTGACCCAGGGCCTAGTGCTTATGAATAACATACTTTCTTAGAATATAAGAGGACTAAATAGTCCTCTGAAATACAGAGAGGTAGACCAATGTCTTTCTGTGAATAAGGTTGGTATTATGGGGTTGTTGGAAACAAAATTGCATGGTGAAAAGATGATGGAGCTCATGGAAAAGAGGTGGTATAATTACTATCATATTAATAATCATGATAACTAGAATAAAGGGAGAATACTATTGCTTTGGAGGAAAGATGAGTATGTGGTGAAGGAGATCATAGTGGATGCTCAGTTTATACATTGCCATATTACTGAATTAGAATGTAAAAAGCAGTTCTACTTCACCTTGGTATATGCAGACTATCTAGCACAAGGGAGAAGTAGACTATGGGAAAGATTGAAAGTTCTGTCACAAGGGATTAATGAAGCCTGGCTGATGATAGGGGATTTCAACTATGTTATGCAGCAGAGTGAGAGATTGGGTGGAAGAGAAGAGATGAATTCTGATTCTGGGAAGTTCAAACTGCTGATTGAGGAGTGTGAGTTATGGGAGATGTCAGTGCAAGGAGGGTTCTATACATGGAGTAATAAGCAGTTTGGAAACATGAGAATATTATCTAAATTGGATAGAAGCTTTATCAATGAATGTTGGGAAAATGCATTTCCTGAGGCTTATACCACAATCTTGAATGCAGGGATTTCAGATCATCATCCTCTTCTAATAAAATGGGGAGAGGAATATGTTGGTAAGAAGACTTCCTTCAGGTTCTTTAATATGTGGTTGCAGGATCAGGAATGTAAGGCCATAGTAGAAGATTATTGGAAAAAGAAGGTGAAAGGATCAAACCAGTACAGAATGATTAAAAAGCAGCAAGGATTGAAGAAGCCATTAAGAGAGATGAATAAAAGGAAATTCTCAAACATTGAAGAGGAAGAACTAAAATGGAGGAAAAAACTGGATGAAATTCAAGAAGCTTTGAAGGTTGATCCACATAATACACAACTTCACCAGGTGGAAAGGGAAGCAATAAAGGAATGTGGCTTAGCAAGGAAAGCAGTGATAAGCTTCTACCAACAAAAACTGAAGGAGAAATGGATACAGGAAGGTGATCTGAATACCAAGTATTTTCATGCCAGTTTAAAGAAGAAGATATCCAGGAGTAAAATTAGAGCCTATACAGATGATCAAGGAACTCTGATTGAAGATCCAAAGTTGATAGAAATGCATTTCCTGGAGTACTTTCAGTCACTACTTGGAACTACTGTGGCTAGAACATCAATCCAGAGTGGTTTTATCAGCTCAGGGACTAAACTGTCAGTTGAACAGCAAATTTTCCTGACTATGGAATTCACTAAGGTTGATGTTAAGGAAGCAAGGTTTAGTATAGATGTTATAAAGAGTTCAGGCCCTGATGGATTCAATAGTGGATTCTATAAAGCCATGTGGACCATTGTAGCAGATGATGTATGTGAGGCGATCATGGAGTTCTTCAAAACAGGTAAACTGCTGAAACAGTTGAATGCAACTTTGATTGCTTTGATTCCTAAAGTAGAAGTTCCTAAAGATACCACAGAATACCGACCTATTGCATGCTGTATCACAGTGTATAAATGCATAACTAAAATGATATGCAAGAGGTTGAGTAGTGTGCTGGATGGATTGACTGACATAAACCAGGGTGCTTTTGTGAAAGGAAGATCTATTCTGCAAAATATCCTATTGACACAGGAACTAGTAAGAGTGTACAACAGGAAAAATGTAAAGCCAAGTTGCCTAATGAAGGTAGATCTCAGGAAGGCTTATGATTCTATTCATTGGAACTTTATAGAGGAAATGCTACAGGAGTATGGCTTTCCACCAAAGATGATAGGTTGGATCATGGAGTGCATCAGAACAGCCACATTCTCACTGAACATTAATGGATGCAGTACTGGTTTTTTCCAAGGAAGAAGAGGTTTAAGGCAAGTGACCCGATGTCACCCCTCCTCTTTGTATTGGTGATGGAATATCTAACCAGAATGTTTAAATCAGAGACAAGCAAAGGAGGTTTTCAATTCCATCCTTACTGTGATAAATTGAAAATAACCTCTCTGAGTTTTGCAGATGATCTCATTATCCTGTGTGGTGCTGATATTCACACAGTGACAAGAGTGAAGAAGATAATGGAGAATTTTGAAGCTACAACTGGATTGAGAATCAAAATTAACAAATCTAATGTTTATGTGGCAGGAGTTTCTAATACTATAGCTGATCAAATCCAGTCTGTACTGTGATTTGAGAAAGGTAATTTCCCCATGAAATACCTGGGGATGCCAATCTCTCCTACTGCATAGAGTAAACCGGAATGTCAAAAAATGGTGGATAAAGTTACTGCACGGAACAACTGTTGGACTTCTAAGCACCTATCCTATGCAGGTGGATCACTGCTTATTAATGTTGTATTGTTGAATTTAAATTCCTATTGGGCTAGCATCTTTCTCATTCCACAGAATGTTATCCAAGAAATAGTCAAAGTTTGTAGACAGTTTCTTTGGGGAAATAAGGAAGATGGTAGAAAAATACCACTTGTAGCATGGAATGATGTATGTCAGAAGAAATCAGAAGGGAGACTGAATATCAAGGAACCTAGTTTGTGGAATAAAGCCCTGATCACTAAGCAGTTGTGGGATCTGAGTAACAGGAAGGAAAGCCTTTGGGTTAAGTGGATGCATATGTATTATATAAAGGGCAGGTCAGTATAGGATTGTAAAGCTCCAAATGACAGCAGCTGGCATTGGAAAAAGTTAATGAAAATCAAAGAAGTTTTGAAAGCAGGAATCTGCAATGATCAATGGCTGGGGAATGGTGGTAAGAAGTATACAGCTAGAAGTGGATACACATGGTTGAGAGGTGAATACAGGAAGGATCATGCTGCAAAGGTAGTATGGTGTAATTACTCAATCCCAAAACATAGTTTTATCAGCTGGTTGGCTTGGAAACAAAGATTAAACACTGGGGAGAGGTTGCAGAAACTGAACATTGTTGCTGATACCATAAGTTGTGTGCTGTGTGAAACAAAACCTGAATCTGCACAACATTTATTCTTTCAATGTGTGTTCTCCAAGAGACTGTTGGAATTGGTGAAAGTATGGCTGGGCATCAATATCATTCCAAACCAGTTGAATGTCCAGGAAATGCTGCAACTGTGGAGATACAGGAAGCTGCAACAGAGGGTGTTCTATCCTGTTTTAAATGCCACTGTTTACCATGTTTGGATGGAAAGGAATTACAGGAAAATCAGAGACATAAAAAGTGAGGTAGAATGTTGCTTTAGCAAAATTTAGCAAGAGATTAGAACTAGGTTACAGTTTTGTTTTAAGAAGAAGAGGTATAAAAACAATGAGCAGCAATTTTTGAGCAGATTAGGCCTATAATTTTGACAGTGGATGTAATTATACATTGTACATAAACTTTGTGATGTGATTAATGAAATTTACATTTTAACAAAAAAAAAAACAAAGGTTTCTACTATCTACTTCTAAATCACATTACCTATATGTACATCTATCAATAAATAAAAGTAACCATCTCTTAAGGAAATAGAATGCTTATCCATGTTTAGAACTACACTATCATCCATCCTAAATTATTAATGCATCCTTTAAGTGCAGATTATTACAAAAACTAAGAATGCATATAGGAAACGTCGCGAAATATTAGCAAAAGTAAACACGTATAAACGTGAAAGCCCCGAGTCGAAATCGATAAATCGACTTTTCTCTCATTGGTGTTGGGGGAGGCAGCACCTGACAGAGACTATATATGTACACAACAACTAGCTCCATGTACACGACAATAGCTAGTATGTACACAATATCATATAACACTCTGTTCACTGCAACCCAGCATGTACACAACAATTCACCTCATATACACAATATTAGAAAATAAGACTGAGTTAAAACCTGAAACCAGCTAGCTCTTTTTGGAAAATTGGCTAGCTAGAACTGAAAGTAGATAGCAATATCCAAGAAACAAGCTAGCTAAAAATTGGAAGTAATTAGCTAACTAACAAATAAAATGATTATAGCAGCAACAAGCAAGCTATATCAGAAATCTGGCTAGCTAAATTACAGCGGAAGAACCCAAACATCTCCCCAATTTGAAAGGACACCCCAAGAGCATAAACTCTAAACAAACTAAAAGTATTACAGCAAAGAAACAACAATCAAAGCGAAACCACTCAAGAACCCAAAAATTTATGTGGAAAATCCCCTTCGATGTGAAGAGATAAAAATTACGAGATCAAACGGCCTATCAAATTCACTATCATCAAATGAGAGCTAAGTACAAACGGTTCTAGTAATACAACAAAGATATATAGTCCTTAGCCAAGCTAAACCAAGCTACAAAAGGCACTAGAATATCAATACAAGATCAAAAGATCAACTAAATTATAGTAATGTTCAGAAATCTATAACTCCCAACCTGGACGTCAAAAAACAAAACCCTTCTGCAGAGACTAAGACTGATTAGCCTTCTAATTTCAGTAAAAATTTCAGGGCAATCCGACTCCGTTTGCCCCTCCAATCAATAAGAAGTCAGAATCAGCTATAGTGAACCTTGTTGAAAATTCCCTTCCCTTACTGCTCGTATTTTTGCAGTCAAACTCACTTCTCACTCTCCTTTTTCAGCAGCTGACTTGCCCCTTTAAGTGATCAAAAGTGGGCTAAAATATTTTCTCCATTGGGCTTTCTCCGTATATGTTCAGAATCCAATACTCCTGACAATTGGGTTGTTAGTTCGGGCTCACTTGTTGAGGTGGAGTTATTGTTCTTCTACTTATGTTCATTCAACCCCAAATGTAACTGCTTCATAGAAGCATCAATTTGTTATGCTAAAAGACAGAAACCTTCAATTCAACAAGAGTAACAACAGAGTGTTGTTTACCTAGTTCTAAATTAATCGCCTTAAAATCATTTTCTGCATTCTAATAAAGCGAGCCACAGAAGACTAGATTGGATTTTATTTTAATCAACAATAATAGTTCACAATATTGTCCATGGCTAAAAACTCATTCAACTTACGAGTGTTGAACAAAGACTTAAAATTGTAACAATTGTATGAGTCAATGATGATAATATCTCGAGATTCAACAATGGGGTTAGGGTTCAGTTGATATGAATATATGTGCGGGCACTATGAATTGAGACAATAAAATGTCAAGTTAAAACTAAGGAAAACGTATGCATGACAAAATGAAACATAAATTTCCTCCCACCAAAGCTACAATACAAAATTTAGATGTGTCTTCCAATCTAAACAAATGTATATGTGAATGTGGCGTTAATGGTATATATATAAAAAAAAAGAAAAAGTTAAAAAAAAAAAAAAAAAGAACAGGTGAGTAGAGTAAATATATAAACAACTAGCGCGTGACAAAAGTTCTCCTCCATTCATTCCTATTCCGATATTCTTAAAATTCTACAAAAAGAAAAGTACATCTCCTAATCCAATTTATGCGTTATCTTTGACTTCAACTTTTAAGTTCTAATAGTAACGGTAGAGTCTTTCTCTTTCTGGTAGACAATAGACAAATAGACTAACAAACAGCATGGATGATAAGTGTGGCAAACAGAAGAAGACAAACTGTTGCATATATGGACATTTCTTTATTCTTAGTTGGTAAATAAAGTACATTAAATCTAGATTTTCTGGTTCAAACAATTACTAAACAAAGAGCCAAAATAAGATGCCTCGTGGGTCATGTGTTGTAGAAAGTGGTAGGATATTATATTAGTCCCTAATGGGAGAAAATACAAATAAAACTCGCTTTAATTACTGTCTAGTATATAAAGATTTTTGCAATAAGAAAATGGTAAATTTTCCGAACCTCATATAGTTTTTTATGAAGGTAAAGTTCATTCGAATTCTCATTCTACCAACAATTGACCTTCATAGAAATCGTCGAAAGATCACTTGTGTATCAACAAGTAAGTTAATCTCCGAACTTGATATGTTTCTTTCTAGGTCCCCATTGATCTATTTTTCCCATTCCTTTTATCTTCATGTATGGTGGTTGATGGTCTTTTCTTCCCCAAGTTGATTCATTCCGCCGCATTGGATTCTAAATCCTTGGCAGCAGGTTTTTTTTTAATTTTTGTGGTGATGAAAATGGAAATAAACTAAACTAGTAACCAAATTTTATTCTAACTTCTCACTGATTTTTTGTTGTCATGAAATGAACTCATTCGCTTTAATTTTGTTGGGTTTTTGTTGTGCAAGAGTTAGTCACGTTAATTGATCAGGTCCTTTAGTTGTCATTCCTTAAATTATTTATTTTGGTTCTTAATTTTTCTTTCATTTTTGCTTATGTTCATTCTTGAAAACACCGATCAGGCTGTGTTTGTGTTTGATTGATTTTCGAATAAAATTTACAGAGAAACGAAATCTTTGTAATTAATGTGTATATTACTTATCATCGATTCATTTAATTTGTAGGCTTACATATCTGGAAAAAATTGGAGATCCATAACGCAGCCCAAGGGGTAATCAATCAGTACGCTCTGTGACCCCATAATCTTCCCTTTGTCTATTTTTAATTCATCTGTGTTTATATTTTTCTTTTACATTTCAATAATATCGTCAAATGATTAACTAAGAGAACTTTAATTTGTTTGGACGGCCTTTAAAAGGGATATCTTTTTCACTCATATCAAAAAATATTATGCATAGTTTAAACCTGTACTAGACTGGAGTAATGTTTTGCAAATGTGTGGGTATTCAGGCTAAAAGATGGAGAACTCATCGTTGCTTATAATTTTTATTGACTGAAAGTTCTCCACTATTAAATTAACTGGTCTAATTCATTCCAAAGTCTTGTAAATGTGCTTTTGAAATAAAACTCTAATTATGAAGTAAATGATGTCGACATGAAACTGTTAAATATTCATTTTCTACATTCGCAAAATCCACAAATCGGTAAAGAGTACCGTTGACATATCCATGGGTATCAATATATAGCTTGAACCATCAATTTAGTATTATTATTCTTGATGTCTTAGGAAATTATTTTCTTTTATTATACTATTTAAGTCCAACAAGATAGATTATCATTTAGGACATCCATGGAGTACAATATTTGTCGTTCTTCTAAATTTTGCAAAACATGATGTTTGAGTAATTTTTTTTCTTTCTTTCTTTGCTTCTCATTGAAGGTTTTTGATTGTTGGTTTTCTTCAATTCATTCATATGAATGGAAGGAATCAGCGGGAACCAATATTTACGCCACCTCATGGCTACGGTGATGCGGCGGGCAGCCGTGGAAGAACCCTTGGTTTCTGATGAAGCAAACTGGTCAGATTTGCCAAGGGATCTTTTGTTGAATATTTTCTCCAAGCTAAACGAGCTCGACCGGATTGTAAACATCGCCGCTGTGTGTAAATCTTGGAGGGAGGCGGTCTCCGATCCCTTGTTTTCGAGCACTTTCGACATGGTCAAATGCAGGGAGCAGACCTTCAATAGGTTTTACGAGCTTCACTACCCATGCAGGAGATCTCTACTGGAGGCTGTGTTTAGGTGTGGCATAAACTTAGGTCTTGCTAATTTGACTACCCTGGTGTTTGATCCCCTGTTTCATGTCAGCGATAGTCATTTGTTGTATGCTGCTCCCAAGTAAGTACACGTTCAAATTACCTCTGATGTTAACACAATGCACTGTTACTTTGATTGATGAATGATTTGACGCAAAATAGAAATAATTTTTATGTGATTTTTGTATAAAGGATGCATGGCATATATATGTAGTATTGATGAGGCATGCTAGTGTAATCTTCTTGTTAACTTTTGTTTTTTTTTTTTTTTTTGAAAGCAATTGCATTAAAATGAAATTACAAACTTATACAAAAAGCAAACAAGAATCTCCTGTCACATTAATCTGGTTAGGACTAACTAGAACTATCATCACGTCGAATATATAACAAATTTCTTGTTAATTTGTTGTCTTTCTGTCTAATAGAATTTGACTAATAAGAATGGAAAAAAATAAACCATTAATAACTCTCTTACCTTTTTTTAAAACAACATACGGTTAATTAAGAAATTAAGGTTTTACTATATGTTGCATCATTTCATGGTACATTTTACATAGATATAGACTTTTGTTTTTGTTACTAATGGTATCTAACCTTACGTTTTTTGCATTTTTTTTCTAGATGCCCAAATTTAAGAGAATTGGTGTTACCAGATCTGTCTGATACAACCGATGAAGGATTAACCGATGCCTTCAAACATTGGACACAGCTCAGGTCGTTGTTTGTGGCATATGATTTTGGAAGCCCTACTGTGGATATATTCTCGATCGCAGGCGAGAGTTGCCCAAATCTGAACGTGCTGAAAATTTCAACGACCGTTCTCCACATGGGAGTGGCGTCGGAGATCGTGACCTACATGCCAGAACTAAAGCTTCTAAGCATGTTTTGCACTTCATTCGTCATGCCAGATTCGTTCAAGTTGTTGTTGTCAGGATTGACTAATCTCGAGGAAGTTTACTTGGCTATGGACAAGATTAATTTCACCAAATGTCCAGAGGGTTGTCCGTGTGTTCCGACAATACTTAAGGATGGTACTATCATGGAAAAGACTTTGAGGCTTCGAAACTGTCATGTTTGTTGTATTCAGAAGTATGATAGATGCGTCGCTACGACTATGGTGGGAGCTGCACCCCTCAGTAATATCCCTCCATCTTAACTTAGAGCTCCTTAATTTGCTACAACCTTTATGATCAAACGTGTATCAAGTTTCCTTCTAATAGGCCATCATACTTTGTGTTTTGTTTCAAAGTTCCAACTTTGTATTTTGATAACTTTAAAACTCTGATTCGAAGTGTTTCTGGGAACAAATCGATGTTTGTATTAGGGTTTTGCCTTTAGAGTATATCATTCATTAAGACATTCATCAACTTTACATTATATGTTATTGTGTTTGACATGTTGACTTGTTTTACTTTTTTAAAAAAATTCTGAGACTGGATGTGATCTCAACATAGACGAATTTGCCCAAAAGTTTCTCTGTTCCAGGATGAAGGTCGTACATATTGAATATGGGATACAAGTAGAAAATTAGAATTTGAAGAAAATAAATAAAAGAAAGAAACTGAATGGAGATGATCTCTGAAACTACATTGTGATTGACTGATTATGAAATAAAGGGGAGATGTCATATTTATACTCGTAATAGTTATTAAATCAAACTACTCTTACTAATTACTAAATCAAATTTATCAATCTTGATAATTTTTCAGTATCAATATAACTAGAGTAGATCGTCCCTCAACTACTATTGATGGTTATCTTTAACATTCTCCCTCAAACTTAGTCATAGTTGGAGACTTAGTTTGCTAAAACTTGTAACTCCATTTTGAGTCATTCTAGCCATGTTTTGGACAACTTGTTGTTGTATTATTAGATTGTTGTATGACAAGTCGAAACTCTTCTTTTGGGTGAAGATCAGACTTTTGCCATAACGGGAATATTTTGGGGATTGTTGAATGACCAGTCAAACTTTTCTTCTGAGAGAATCAGACTTTTGTGATATAGAAATTTTGTGGATTGACTTAGGTGTCTTTCCTCTTTGTCCGAACTGAAATTTGTGGATTAACTAAAATTGATTTGTAAAAAAAAATAAATATAAAATAAAAAATTACAGTTCAATGGGATTGATATGTGACCGAGTTTTTGGAGACGGTACATTTTTTGGGAGAGAGTATTGGATTAATAGAAGAGAATGAAGGCAAGACAATATGATTTCTGATGAATTGAAATTTTAGCATGACACATCAACTATTTATGAATGAACATGGTTATGAAATCATGATTTATTTTTTGAAAAAAAATAAAATAGTAAGCAAAAGCGGGAAGAACATGCTCTGACACCAAGAAGAAAAATAAAATTTAAAGAAAATAAAAAGAAATGAATAGGAATAATCTATGGAAACTACATTGTGATTGGTTGATTACAAAATAAAAAGGAAATGCCATATTTATAGGCATTTATACACTATTGGATAAAAACTACTCTTGATAATTACTAAATCAAACCTATCAATCTTGGTAATTTTTCAGTAAAACTATCAGTAGAGTATATCCTTCCTAAACTACTATTGATGGTTTTCTTTAACAATACGATCCTCGGTTGTCTTCTTTTAAGCTAGTTAGCTAAAACGGGATGGAGATAGTATTTTACACCTTTATTGTTACAGACATTTGGTGTAACATTATCATCTTGGGAATTAAAGAGTAATGAACCACCACTATACCTAAAAATATCAAAATTTTCATAATTTCCCAACAAGAACTCTAACAAGAAATTACTAAAAAGTCCATCTTTTTTAAACAAAAAAAAAATCTCAACATCTTCTAAAAGTATCATAATCTCCATTATTTATCCACAAGAACTCCATAAAAAATAATCACGTTTTAAAAAAAAAAATCAATCAAAAATAAACCATAATTCTATCTAAACATATCAGAATCTCCATCATTTCTATATAGTGAATTCATAAAAAAATAAAGGTTGAAAGACTCACATGTAGATCCCTTTCTTTAACTCGAATAATGAGATAATTTTTTTATTATTATGAAAATTTTGATTTGATTGAATGTCCATACTAATATGTATTATTCTATTCACAATCAAGAAGATATGATTCTGTAATATTTAACATTAATGATAGGTGATTCATTTCCCATAGTTTGATCCCCTACTTCTTGTATAAATAGGAAGCTAATTCATGCTTTAAAACACATCTGAATACAAGTCTCTTATCTCTCTCTACTCTCTTATGTCTCTCTTGTTCTTATGCTTAGTTTAATATTGTCATTTTAGTATTAATTTTATAACACGTTATCAGCATGAGACTCTACCCAAAGAGCTTTTACCACCTTCTGAAGTTGGTGTGTATTGATTCCGAAGGCCTGAAGCCTCAATGAATATTTTAATCCTACCACCGCCTGAAGTTGGTGCATATTGATTCTAAAGGAATGAAGCCTCAATGAATACTTTAAAAGATTTTTTGTGACCTAAAGCATCTGAAGTGTCATGACCTCAAGTCATTTCAAGATCTCGGTTTAAGATTGTCAATTCAAAACTGAGAAAGCGAATTCGGCACGTTGAAATCATACTATTTAATTTTGTATTGAGATGTCTGAGTGACATGTGATTTTATTAGTCAACGAGTTCTTAGACCAAAACCTATCCACGGTTTTTCATTATTTTGCTTTTGTTTTGATTTCTAATTCCATAAACTAAATTACCTTTTTTTAATGATCTAATCTCGTTAATATCAATGTATTTTTCGATGATTATGTTATGATGCATATTATTTATATTATCCTCTGGAAAAAGTAAAAGGAAAATAGGGAAGATTAATAATAGAGTTATTGTTTCCTTGTTTTGGTTTATTATAAACCTTTTAAAGTAATTATAACCTATTGGTTTAATACATGTTTCCATATTATTGGTGTTACTAAGGTTTTGTAGCATAATTATATTGTAGGTTTTTTTTCTATAAAAGAAAATTATTTGAAAAGCAAATTGTCGCTATGCTGTAGTGATTTGCTATGTATGTTGACAAGAATAAATGTTTTAAATTTTTATTATTATTATTATTTTGTTTGTTGTATATAATATTATTGTTTCGTGAAAAAGTATCACCCTTACTTTGAGATTTTTCACTTCCTGAAGCAAGTGAATTATTACTATCTAGATATTTTTTCACCCGAAGTGAAAGATTAATGATAACAAAAATAAAGTTGCTCCCGAAGTAGCAATATTACGATAATATATTTGCCATATTAAATTGCTCCAGTAGTAGCATTATAGTAAAATGTTTGGTGAAATTTTATGAATCGATTTTTTTCTATTCCCTGAAGTGAGTGGATAGCAAATTATTTCGAGCCAAATTATAGACATTAAATCTACAGTATTTATATATAATATATAATTCTTCCTGAAGTTGGAGAGTTAATGATGATTAATTTGAAGACATGTTCAATCTAGACATGGTCCATTTCCTGAAGTAAATGTGATGATCATGCAATAATGATAGTGGTGATTCTAATAAATACTAAAGCACTTGAAGTTGGAAAAATAGTGAAAACACTACTATCTATCTGAAATTGGAAAGTAGTATATTACAAATGCTATCGTTGTAACATAGAAAATCATTTGGTTCACATGATTTGTATACCCACAATTATCTTATTGATATCTTCAATATATTATTGAAACTAGACGAATCCATTAGTCTTGTCGACAATGAATTACCAAATCATAATTCGATCTTTGTCAAATGCCTATAAGGTAATTTGAAAATTTAGAGATGAAAATGTCCAATATACCAAACACCGTGAGGGTGTTGCAATCTTTCAGTCACTGCTATAATGGTACTATACTTCGAAGAAAATAAGATCTAAACTTGTTAATGGTAAAAATATACCTGGCACATAGTGCAAATCATATTATCTCTCTGGGTATTATAGATTTTATTAATCACCCTGAAGATGATGCTAGTCAATGATAAACACGAAACAATTAAATACTCCACTAGAGCATATGCCATTGAATTAGTTTGTAAAGATAGATGAAAACTTTTGTAGAGTATAATTACTCCGGAGAGTGAAAACAAATAAATACTTTTGAAGATCAAATATAATGAATTCATCATTGCCTCTGGAAGAGCAATAGTAAACAAACTTTGCTCCGAAAAGGAGAAAGTGCATTAAAATACATTATATTTTCCAAAGTATCAAAGAAGGATATAATTTGCTCTACTAACACAACTATTTTGAATTTAAAAATTCATTTTTGTCTCCAGCAGAGCAGCGATATACTTTGTTTTTAAAAGAGCAAGAACACTATGGTAGAATGAAAATAACTGAACAACAAATACGATGTCAGAGTAAACACTCATGTGGAGCGAAATTGTTCTGGTGTAGTTGAATAATTAATTCCCTGTTTTCTCCAGAAGAGAAATTCTAAAATTTGGCATAACTAATTAAGCGATTCTAGTTTCAAGATGAAACAAGAAAGTTTATATGCTTTAAATTTGGAAAACCAAGAATTTCTTCCAACAAATAAGAATATCAATCGATATATCGATGAGATAGCCACATGTATGATTCCCGTTAACTTGCAACCTGAAGTTTGCAGAAATTTTATTATGGAGTTAAATGGATAACTTGAAGATTTTCATGCTCTGCTCTTACAAGAATTTTGATTTGACAATTGTGATTAGTGTATGCCTCAAATAGCAGAGTGATAAAAGTTGAATATTGAGTGTCTATAATAGCAATAATGAAGCGGTCTAGTAGAATCGTTTATTGCACGTGTTCAATTAAAGTAATTACCTCATGTATAATTGAGGAAATGTTGAAACACAAAAGGTCTCAATTATATGCATAAGACCAAACAGGTCATTGCAGATATTCTCTCCAACCGTAGTTTTCTATCACAAACCATATATCCATCTTTAAATATTAAATGTGCAGTTTATATATTATGATTACTCCACCGTAATGTACAAAAAGGTGGAGCCTCCAGAAGAGGTTAGAAATATATTTTGAATATTGAATTTCTAATTTTTAAATTATTGATGTTGGATTAAATATTCGATAGATTGATCGTATTAGTTTGACGAGTTAGTTACTCTCAAAAGGGAGATTATTAACTGCACGGTTGGTTAATCATCA